GCAACAGTGCCAGTGAGCAAAAAGGCACAATCACTAGCAATGATGTAACAAAAAGAAATGTCTTCACAAATGTTGGTGAACACATCAGTCATACCTGAGAGTATGCCGCCAATTCTTTTGGAAAGATGACAATGTGATAAAGCATAAAAAAAGTTGTGGAGTGATAGGAGCAATGTGCATCATGTATCCCCCAAGTGTCAACTGGTGTGAGCCATGATGGTGTCTGTATGTTGTGTGACTGATTCATGAACTTGCTCCCACGTTGCCATTTGTGATATATTATTAGACAAAAAAATTTTATATCATAATTTACTAATATGTATACATTGATACAAGAGTGCGATTCATAACTTGCTATTATATCTGAATATCATTAAGTTACCAAAGACCAACAGTGTATATTACTGTTAACAGAATGCCATACATACACTTTCAATATTTTTATCATATACAGTACTTGTACTTGACTTTGAAAAGCTTTCACAGTGGCTTGATATATTATTTAATGCATATGGAAAGTCTACCCTTTCTTATGCCTCAGTGTTCCAATTGCAAAAAAATTAGGATATTAGAATGAGATCATCAGTATTGTGAAGGCACTGAGCGAGTTCATTCAAGACCAGACTTGACCATCACTGTCCCAGGTACAGATACATTTTGAAACCAGTACACGCACAGTACAGTAAATTCTCGCTTAGTGATCAAGACAACATGGTTTCATTATAACATTGCTACTGTTTAGATACCCAGGATTCTGACAATATTTTATGACCCACCTGATTCATTATAGCATCGCTCTTAACGTTGTCACCCAAGCATGGACTACTGTAGATGGCGCGCTGAATATGGCCTCGAGCGGAGCACCACAGCGTCCCCAAGCACCATCTTCTCAGACTATGTTAAGCTTCCACAGCGTACACATGTTTTTAAGTGTTTTTGTTGCAAATACTGTACTGTACTGTAACCCATTGAAATGGCTTCCAAGTCCCCATCAAGTGGTAGTGATGCTAGTAATGTGAAGAAGAAATGCAAGCCCATTAGCCTTGTTACGAAAATGGATGTTTTATACCCGTTTGATAAAGGCGAATGTGCTCTGGACTTTGGTGTAGCCTAACCCCTACAACAGTGTGTAGTTTCCAGACCAACAGACAAGAGTGAGTAAAATACAAAATGATTGTTTTATCTTATTAATTAATTATTAATTTAGTGATTTATCAGTTTCGCGCTTCACATTTTTTAACACCCCTTCTCGTTAAACAATTGAAAATTATTGGTTTAGTGATCTTCGACTCGCTGGGAAAAAATCAGGAGGGAAGTCGGAAAAACTGGGGATTCTGTACTCCAAGTGTACATCATTACAATACTGTAATTTAGCTTAGAAATAAAGAAAATACTGAACTGTATACAATACAGTACAGTATTTCAAAGTATACAGTATACCAGGGGCACTCAATTGGAAGACTGCAGTTCGGGTTAGCTTTGGTGTGGAACCCAACATCTCTCTCTCTCAAGAGATGAACTTTATTTTCTTTTATGCATCAGTAATGATCAGTACTGTATTTTCTAATTACACTGGTCCCTCGGTTAGTGAGCACAATTCGTTCTAGAAGGTTGCTCGTTAACCGAAAAATTCGTTAACCGAATCCATTGTTTCAATGGGTTTTTGGGTAATTGGTTCCAACTCACCGAAAATTGCCTAAAGTCAACAGAAAAGGTAGTAAAGTACACTTACTTTGAGGTGTGTATGTAGAAGGCTCCTGGATGATGATGATGATGATGATGATGATGATGATGATGATGATGATGGGAATTAGAATGGGGGTGGAGGAGAAGGGAGAAGAGAAGACATTGGGGTGGAAGAGAAGTCACCCCATGGTGCCATTTCACCCATAAAATTTTAGATCACTAGGTGTAATTCAAGATTATTTTCTTTAAATCAACACTGCACTGCATTATATATTGTCAATATGTAAAATAAATTTCAAAATGACCAATAATTTGACCGGAAACACAGAAAAAAACGTTTATGTTGAAGAGAGTCTGAAGCAAGATGTTACCTCCACTGAAAAGACACAGAGACTGACCCCTGTATGGGGTGTTGACAAGCTGTTTGGCGCACTAAAAACTAGTTTCCCTGTACTTAAATTATGTTAAGTAATTGTTAAAATGACTAAAAATTTTAATATAAGACTTTTAAAATTATTGAATAGTACAAACTTCTTGATATTTACTAAAATAGTATGGAATTTAAGCCCTAGAACTGATTACTGTATTGGCGGACTAATACTACAGCTGGTGGGCAGCCAAATGCAGGCGAAAACATGTTGGGAAAAATTTGTAAGGAATTCGTTAATCGAGGGAATGCTCGTTAACTGAAGTTAAGAATCTTATGGATGGTAATTCGTTAACTGAAATTTCGTTAACCGAGGGATCAATTTATATCCTATTTTCACAGTTAATTGATCTCAAATGAAAAAACAATTATTTTTACTGCAGCCATGTTAGTTTTTTTTGGCTCATAATTATGTTTTCTGTGGTGCATGTTATAGGAAAACGTAATACCACATCCACGTCGTGTTTACAATTTTGGCGACTTTGGCTGATGAAAAAGCAGCTAATTTTTCCTGCTATTCTGAGAGCATACATCACTCAAACTAACACGTTTCAACATACAGTCGACCCTCGTTAATTCGGACCCCTTTAATCCCGATTTCGGATAATTCGGAGGAAATCTGAGCTAAGCGAGGGATTGTCCGTATCAAATTTCTGGTTCTGGGATTGTCCAATAGATGGCGCGCGTGCACCAGACCGCCAGTCATTGTTGACTTAGCGTCATATTCGAGTATCAGTTTTGTGTTGCCCTGCAATTTTCGTTGATATTTCATTGATTAGGCATCTTTCAGCCTTGTATTTTACATCATGTCTTCAAGGGAGTACAGTACCTCTAATACGCCGAAGAGGAAGTATGTGACCCTTTCTGTGAACCAGAAACTGGAACCTATAAGGAAGTTAGAGGCTGGTGCTTCGGTGGCTAGAGTTTGTGACGAGTATGGTGTTAAAAAGCAAACAGTTTCGGACATATGCAAGGCTAAGGACAAACTCACTGCATTTTCTTTGAAATATAATGCAATATTAACCCCTAAATCGGTTAATCGGCTAAAACGGACACCCTTCCCCCCTATTAGTCCGAATTAACGAGGGTCGACTGTACTACGAAGCGTGTACTCGCATAATGAGATTATGATCATGTTAAGGCCATCAGCATTCAAGATAACTCAATAAATGTTGAATAATGTCTAGAAATAAGACTAGGTATCACAAGGTACCTGACCGTGGATTCTTTCCTGTCAATCCATTCTTATTTAGTGTAATCTTATCAAACCATGCTTGTGGTTGCCAGAAAGGGAAAGGGGAGGGATGATATAGGCTGCCTCATTGGTGGTGGGGAATGGAAGGGGTAATGTAGGGTGCCATGTTGCAGGGGGGATGAAATCGGTAATGATGGTGGTGATGATTGTTGTGTTAATAGTGGTGGTACTTTGAGGAGCCCACCTGGTGTTGTGGGTAATGTTTGTGGCCGTTATGCAACCTCCCCTAAGGATCTTTGGATATCTCATGCTTTCAGCACCCTGGGTGTGAAGGTGTGTTGGTGCTACTTTGAGGTGCTTACTGTCGCTACACGACCTAATGATGCCGATCGCAAATCTAGTTGTGGTATGAATGTCTGTGAAGGATCTCGTCTAACTAACAAGAGTAGAGGGTGAGACGGGTACCTGTGTGTTATCCCTTGTCTAGGATATTATTTCTCGTTATCCCTCGTTTAGTGATCCTTTTGCTTAACAATCATTTTTTTTTCAGGAATGCATCCCAATCGTTAAACGAGGGATACCTGTATAATATATACGGTATACTGTATTTCCTTTAAAAATTGCATTAAATTTATATATACTGTATGAAATTTATTTTATGGGGCGAAAGGAGGGTGGAGGATGTAACTAGCATCATGTATTTTATCTATTTCTTATGAGAAAAAATTTGATTCCGTTAACGTTGTGTTTTACAAGAACGTAACCACGACATTAAGCGAGGATTTGCTGTATTTGCCAACAATGAGTAACAGACATGACCGACCATCCAAAAGGCTAAAGAGTCAATCAGTTGCGAAGAGGATAAAGTAAAATTTAACCATTTGCTTCCTGGACCTCAATAACAGTAATGTATGTCAATTTTGTACAGAGATATTTACCCTCCTAAATGTACCATACAAATAATAATCTATTTTGATTATAAAAAAGTATAAATAAATATGGTCAAGTCATTATCAGTAATTGTTATATTCCTACTGTGGGGTTTTGGACACAGTAGGTACACAGTTCACTGAACTTCGTTCTTGTAAAAAAACTCATGGGCAGAAGACATGCAGAGTAATGATTGTAATGGTGGTAATAATGGTAAATTTGACTTTGGGTGAGGTAGTAATGGTGGTGGGGACAGGTGAGAGGTGGTGCTAGAATGCACAAAGAATTATGGTAATACTTGAGGCTATTTTCAGGGCATTACTAAAATTTGTATCTTATAGTAAGCCGCACCCCCACTTTTGCAAAACCTTTTAGGACAAAAGTTCAGCTTATATTCGTCAAAATACAGCACGTATTTACTGTTTATTCATAGATCAACAATGGTGTTAGTCCTGTTCATAAGATGTTAAAAGACTTTTAATGATGGTAAAAAATAAACTATCATTCCCCATAAAGAAAATATTAGGTGTGCATTCCATTACTTTTCGTGATAAAGAATGAGCTGGAAATGATTGGGGAATAATTTCTTTATCAATAACAAAGGTGACCATGCCACAGGACCTGAGGGACAAAGGAATATGAAAATGATAGATTCATTAATATGAAGTAGTGTAAACAACAATTATTATGGACAAATACTAGACCCGGTATTCATGACAAAACTGTATAAAATTAATGTTATAGGACAATCATAAGAGTCAGTACACAAAGTATTTTACTTCACAGACCCCGGGGAGCAACAAATACCTCAGGAATCAGATGATATTACTGTTGCTGCATATACTCGCAGATCGCCAGATAAAAATCCCTCTATCCACTTCAGTCAACCTGGATGTAGTCATAGTTCAAAGTCTAAGGAAGTGAACCTAATTTCTATTTTCACTGCCTGAGTAAAAAAAATCCTTATCAGAAGAACATAGGGTGAAAGAAGAAGAAATGAACCACAGGATATTAAACTATTTGATTTAATGGAGGTTGCAACTTTTGGGTGAGTGAGTACTTAACTCTTTCAGGGCAACAGAACAACCACCATGACACACACTTAACCCTTAATCAGCAGTTGAGGATTTCCTACTCTGCCCCCATACATGCAAAAATGGAAAGCAAGGAACATAAAACGTCAACTGATAATGGCCGCTGTCAGTACAGCTAAATTCCCATGATGATGGCCGCCTTTTAAGGGTTAATGTTGAACAGACATCTTCTAGTTGTGAATTCACCACAATATCTAATGCAACATCATAAAAGTTTCACACAAATGTAACCAGCAATTGTCCTCGTATCAAACTATTCGTGTTTCAATTGGTACAGTATCTACCGAGTCCATATACAATGTTACTACTGACAATGGCAGTTAGAACTGTATTAAGTCTTAAGTGCAGGTTTCTTAATGCCCTTATGGTAAATACTATATAAGGCAGTGCAACTACTATTTTCTCACACTCATTAGATATTACCTGAACCAGGACAAAGACACAAACATGTCTTCTGCACAGGACTGATACTGCAGAGGACTAAAGGAGGATACACATGCAATATCAGTTGTGTAAATAAAAATCTGTATAAACTCTAAGGCTAGGCATACTCATTAGCCTTTAGTCTCATGCAGATAAAATATAAAATCTATTAATTTTGAGACTTACTTTCTGCAAGTCTTTAATACTGTACTTCTAAAAGTTAAATATCATAATGTAATATGTTTAATATAAAAGTCTAAAATCAATATATTAAAATAAAAACAGCCTAAATTAATTTTATATACAAAAAAATACTGTATATGCAAATTTTTGTTCCTATACTACAGGTATTTTAAAAAGTATTGATACAAGCTAAAATTCAACACAGAATGTTTCAACAGATATTCTTAACACACTTTTAGTAAAATTTCATAATGAAAAAAAAAATCCACATTCCCAATCTTACTAAAGAACTGATGTATGGTTACTTTAATATTGTGAACATCTATATAAAAAACATTTCTTACAAAAAGGATTTTTTAACTCCACACATCAGAAGAATAGCGTTTTGTGTTTATCATCTTCTTCACATATAGTTCTGCTTCACTCTGAGTCATTCCCCCCACTGTCTGACAAATCTTGTTTATGAGTGTGTTCACATCCCGAGCCATGCTCTTGGCATCTCTGAAAATCGGAGGAAAAAATAAGTACTGTATACATATAAATGGGATGGATGAATGAAAACAAAAACTGGACCCCTAGTGAGATACAAAACCGTGGAGGTTTAATGTAAACAGTCCAAGAACGTTTAGAGTGGAGGACTGTGGTCGCCAACCCTCAGCCTACAGTACTCTGGTAAAAGACCAAAGCTTGGATGAAGAAAAATTCTAAGAATATTTTCGTCTGAGCGGACAACGGTTCGCACACGTTCTTTCCCTGGTTGAGGAGGGGGATTTGGTGAAACACTGTAGGAACAGAGAAGTCATTTGCCCAAGGCAGCGACTTTTTTTTTGGGGATTAGCCCCCGGGCAGGTCACCGACCCACATCGGGGCCTGGGGGGCAAAAATGTAATAATAATAATAATAATAATAATAATAATAATAATAATAATAATAATAATAATAATAATAATAATAATATCAGGTTCAAAGAACTCAGTGGTGAGATTACCTGATATCCACAGTTGGTTCATAAGGTGGTAGCTGGTGGGATAACCACAGCTAAACCATAAGAGGCAGCAGTGCATATCCTATCTCCACTATCTATATTAATAACTTGTCACCTAGAAATAACTATTTATGATGAAAATAAATAAGTTTAAATTTTACCTATACAGTTCATTAGTTAAATGAACTTAACACTGAGTAGATGATACATATACAGTACTGTATATATATATATATATATATATATATATATATATATATATATATATATATATATATATATATATATATATATATATATATATATATATATATATATATATATATATATATATATATATACTAGAAAAAAATAGTTTTTACTTCACATTGTATCCAGGTACAGTACTTACCCACACACATACAGATGACCATTTTCCTCTCCAATTACCCGCCACACTTCAGCCTTGTTTTCTTCCAGTAGATGAGTTACATACCGCTTCTCTGGTTGGTCCCGGCTAAATGCAACATACAGCTGCAAAAGCAAATTATCTTTAGAATGATTTTGTACTGGTGGTGGGAATACAGTACCATACATTTATATTTTCTTACACTTTTGAGGCTTTTCTCATTTAAAGTATATACTGGGTAGAAATAAAAACAAATATTCCCATACAGTATACCATGTATTTTTGTTTGTTATTATCATTTATTCATTCTTACTGCTGTTGTAGATGTATTCTGCTATGGAACTCCCCTTCTACAACAAGGCTCCTGGCACTTCACCCAAGCCAGCATTAAATCCTTCCCCATTTCACTCAATACTCTACACCCTCCTCGTTTATACTCTCTAGTGCTAACTGAATTTACATTCCACTCACTACTAGTATAACGTTGGCCCTATTCTTACACCTTCTTAAGTCTCTTCCTTTCTCTCTTACCATTCACTTCTGACTTATACATTGATTTTAACTATTGCCAATCCAGGTTCCAAACATATGCTACGAGTGTGTTTACCTTGGTATACAGTAATCTCCCTGTTAGCCGGAATAATTGATGCAGAACAGTTCCGGGTTTGGAGATGAATTCTGTCATCCATGAAAATTTTTCACGTACTGGTGGAAGTTTTTCCTAGTCAAAAATTATGCATCTTGCATGAAGCGACTTAACTGCAGTCAAACAGATGCAGAACTATATTTATTTATTGAACATAACTGTACACGTACAATATATTGTAAATACAGTAAAATATATATGGTACAGTAAGTCCGCGCTTAACGTTGTTTTGGTACTACGTCGCTAAACTTTAGAGACCAAAAATTTTTAAAGTCCCAGTGATCCGATACTATGTACGTCGTTTTGCGTCATCACAGACTACATTTTACGATGCATAACCCTCTCTCATCTGGCCGTGCTATGCTCTCTCGGCTTGGCGCAGTCTCAGTGACTCACCACCCCCCTCCTCCGCTTCCACCCTCCTCCTCCGCTTCCACCCTCCTCCTCCCCTCCCACCATACTCCTCCCCTCCCGCCATTCGCCCCCCTCCGCTTCACTCCCCACCACACACATGCTCTACCACCTTTGCCCATCGGTGAGTACCAATACAAACTTAGTAGTTGTATATGTATGAACTATTTTCTATAGAAATGGCAATGATTTTCTGTATATGTAAAGTATTTCATGGGGCAAAGGGAGGCTCAGGAACGTAATTCCTGTATTTTATTTATTTCTTATGGGGAAAATTGATGCGCTTAATGTGGTTTCGTATAACAATTTCAATTGTTTATTCCTTGACAGAGGAAGCGGGATCCTTGTGCTGTCACTAGGTGCCCCTGTACAATGACACCAGAATCATCTGGCAAGTGTGACAAGTATATACAGTATAAATATTATAAAGGGGCTTACTAAACCCTAAGGAAGGAAGGATATTCCTTTAACACATAATCAATATTATTTACAAAATATCTGGCCAGTATGGGGAGGATCATCGTGTCTCCGTCAGAGGGTCGTGGAGTGGTGGTCCAGCAGGCGTCACGGAAGCGTTGTGTGTGGGGACATCTTAGGAGGTAGTGGATAAGGGTGCTGCTGTTGGGTCTTCTGCATAATGCACAAGAGCGTTGCTCAGGGGATGCGGGGATACCAATCTCCCAAGCAAAGTCATACCCAATGATGATACGGGCAGCAATCACGTCCCCTTTCCGCGACCCTTTCCCGTAGACGTACGAGAGGTCAGGAAGTTTACAGAGGACATCGTACCAGGTGGGCGGGGAGTCCAGGGGGATGGCTGCTTCCCGAGCTTCTCTCTGTTTGCGGCGAATTTGGGTCCTAATCTGTAAAAGTGTTCGAGGAACAATGTAGTCAGGTGTGGCCTTGTTGCAGCCAGTCTTGGCAAGGCCATCTGCTGCCTCATTCCCCAAGATACCGACATGACTGGGTATCCATAGGAATGTCACAGGACGGCCTGCATCCTGAAGTGTGGATGTTAACCCTCGTATTCGGAGGATGAGGTCCTTATTTTCCCCTGATCCAAATGCGATCCCGTCGAGAGCAGACCTGGAATCGCAGCAGACAAGCAAGGGGCAGAAACCATCTGCTAATTCCTCAGCGAGAAGAGCAGCAAGGAGGGCTATTAGTTCAGCCTGAGTGGAGGATGCCCCGTCAGAAACTCTGAGAGACAGTTTGATAGGCTCAGGGGCATCAGGACGGGAGATGGACACCAGCCCTGGCCCTACCTGTAGCGGGGTCAACAGAACCATCAGTGTAGAGGACGACCCTACCTGGGGACCAGTGGGCGATCCTGGAGAGGCGGTATTTGCAGAGAATAACAGGGTTCACCTGCGATTTCGGGAGCGGTCCACCGAGGGCAATCACTTCAGGTTGAAAATCCAGCCAGGGAGAAGGAGACGAACCAACAGCAGGGGTGACAACAATATCAGGCAGGAGGTCGTGTTCCTGAAGGGCTCGGATGAGTGACCCTCGCCACTGTCTTCTAGATGGAGGTCGGTCTCGGACAGCAGGAGTCAAGTTGGTTTGGACATAGTTGCCCCGAGGATCCCGTAGAATGGAAATGGCAGTTTTTAGGTAAAACTCCTGGACACGATCCTGTAAGGGGGAAAGACCAAGTTCGGTATATAGAAAAGTAGAGCGTGTCCACTGAGGAGCCCCAAGGATGATAAGAGCAGCTTTCCTCTGGATAACTTCGAGACGGTTGACAGCAGTCCAACTAATGTTGACGAGGGCAGGGGCGGCGTAGTCGACACAGGAACGGACAAAGGACTTGTACATGGTGAGAAGGACACTGAACAGAACAATGCACCACCACAGCGGCTGTTTGGCTAGTACTGTAGGTAAATTTAAAAATTTCAGTAAAAAATGCGGCAGACTAAACCTCGACATATCAGTTTCAAATTTGGCATGGAGTCTTAGATATGTATAAGGAACAATGCCTGAAGAGTGCAGCTTTGAGCAAAATTTCACTGCCCCTTATTGTACAGACATTTTCTGTTTATTTCTAAGCCACATTAGAATACTGTAATGATTTTTACACAACTTTTATAATTTTATAACATCAATCAAAGGCAACATGCCATTTCACAGGCCACCTCATACCCAGTTTTTCTCCCCATCATAGTGAGTCAAGCTACAGGTACACCACTGATTTTCCGGCACCATTGGTTCCAAAGCCTTGCCGGATTATCCTTTTTGCCAGACCAACTGAGGTCACGTAATAATAATTCAACAATACGCCTCTGACCCACTAATTATACACCTCCTGTGTCTCTAAAGCACTATGGACTGCTAGAAACTTAAATTAAACAAATATTAAATGTAAATTAAATGTGAAAAAAGCCAAAATTTTGAGCAACATTACTGTACACACGTTGTACTCATATGTACTGTACTACACTAGACTAAAAATTTTATCTCTTGTGCAACTATGTGATGTTTATACTCAGATTAATCACTATATTACAAGAATTCAAGCAATGTAATTTATATTCTGTTAAGTCTAGTCAGCTACATTTTATAAAATAAAAACTTTAAGCCTAAAACTGCCTTCACCCTGACTGGGAGGAAGGGGAGGGAGGGGTTGAGATGTTGACAGCTGTCAAGAAGGGGAGATAACAAAGTGGATAGTTATCAAAACAGAAGGAGTTTTAATTTTTCCCTTAAAAAATGTCACTGAATTGACAAGGCCGTATTTAATTTGCATTGCTGTAATTCTTGTAATATAGTGATTAATTTGGGTATGTATAAACATCACATAGTTTGCACTAGACATAAAATTTTTAGTAATTAACCCATTACAGTTTACCCTTAGGACAATTATTTCTTTTACCTTTTTCACAATATATATTTAGGATGGTGTGTGCATGTAAATTAGTAAAAAGATATCAAGAAAGTTACATATATCTTCCCGAAAATACGAGTTAAAAAACTTGTACACAAATATACTACACTGGACTAAAATTTATATCTCTTGTGCAAACTATAAGTTTTTGCTCAAATTAATCACTATCTTACAAGGATTCCAGCAATGCAATTTATATTCTGCTAAGTCCAGTCAGCTACATTTTATAAGATAAAAACTTTAAGCCTAAAACTACCTTCGCCCTGGCTGGGAGGGAGGGAGGGAAGTTAAGTGCCCCCTCATAATTTTGTCCAGACTAAAGGAGGTGCCGGACCATCAGTTCCCGGATAATCGGTGGTGTACCTGTATTGGTAGTCTGGGTTTTGACCTAATGTTAAATGAGAAAGGGTGTTAAAAATGTTATATTGCTAAACCAAATTATCGTTAAGTGAATTAACGCTACATAAGGGATACCTGTATAATAAATATAATCAACAGTACAGTGGTGAAACCAGCAGTCCAGTGACCAGCCTTCACTCTACACAGAAGGTTTTAAAGGCACTGAGCCTTTCACATGTTCCTTTATACAAGCCCTGTCCTTCACAATTATGTGTACGGTTAAGGTGGTGAGACGGAGATCATGTGAAAGCGAGGCGATAGCTTTTCTTCCTTCATGCTGCTTAATTACCTGGACTTTCATTTTCTGTTCTAGATCTATCACTTTAAGTTTATGAGCAGGTCCTGCACTCTTACTATGACATGGGAGCTTTCAAGTCATTTTGCAGTACAATTAACCCTTAAAGGTCTGACGAATCTTGGGAAGTCTCCCTTCAAAAACTGAATAATAGGCTAAAAAATTAAAATCATAAAATGAACGTTCTAGTCTTATGAAAATGTCAGACATACATGTTAGTTAATAGGAAATAAGGTAATTATTACGGTACTCACCACCTATGGTTATTGGCCAGTTGGCGAGACATCGTACCTCAGCACCCCTCTAGCAGTTATCGTACATCTAGGTGTGAACGGTGGTGCACTACCAACTCACTCCATGTTCTTACAACTTCACATGGTTCCTTATTATTACACTATATATATAGTACATTCACCACTCTGTGGCTTGGAGTGGCAGGGCTTGGGAGCTGGAGTTCTAAGTGGATAATCCAGAAAGGTAGACATGTGAC